TGTCACCCAGTCATTTTATGCCTCAGTTCCTTCACTTGTAAAATGAGTAGGTTGGACTTGATAGCATCAACAATCCCTTCCAGATCAAACTCTGAATCTCTGATCTTCTGATCCAGTAGCTACCTGCTCTCATGTCTAATACAGAGTTTCTGACATGGCTTTATAGTTTAGCCATGCTGCTTTTCTTTCTTCCCTGAGTTAAATAAAGTATCATAGGACATCAGAGCTGGAAGGCACCTTAACAGCCATCTAGCTTAACTCACATCTGATAAAAGGAATTCCTTCTACTGCACACCCTACAAATGGTTATCTAACCTTTGTTTGAAGCCTCCAGTGAGTGAGAATCTATTACCTCCCCAGGCAGTACATTCTACTTTGGGATAACCCTAATTGTTGGAAGTATTTTTCCTTATGTCAAACCCGAATTTGTCTCTTTGCAACTTTGCTCCTAGTTATGCCCACTGGGGTCAGGCAGAGCAAGCCTAATCCTGATTCCTAGTGATAACCCCCAGTTACTTGGAGTTAGCTATATGCCGGGCCCCCCCCCCCACCCCCCCCCCTTTCCCAAAGCTTCTCCTCAACTGCCTCTACAACCCCTGTTCTTTAAAAAAAAAAAAATTAAAAAAAAATAAGCTCATATACTATAGAGTTTAAGCCTTAAACTAACCATCCTGATTGCAATAAATTGGATGCTTTCTCCAGGGCTATGCTTCTTCCTTAGGGGCAAAGGAACTATTGTAACACACATATCAGAACCAGGAATTGATCCCAGGTCTCCTGACTCCAGGCCCAACATCCTTTCCAACACTGCCTCTCAACAGAAGCTGATCAGTGATAAAAATAAGTTTATTTTAATTAACTATCCTCAAATGTATGATATTCTTCTAATATGCAATATATACTGGATGCATTATATCATTGCCATGACTATTCATATAGCAGAGCTCAGGATATTGTGGGTCTGCTTGGACACCATCCAAAGAGGGCTAATTACTAGATCACCAAAAAAAAAATTGCTAAAGACTATCTCCATTCACAAAGTACTTCCACTGCATGGAATTCATGGACATTGTAGTGAATTTTTAAAAATACCCAAAGAAAAAGCATTATAAAGAAGTTACTAACTTGAGAAAAGTTAATAATCTACTTTCTTTCCAAATATTTTATTGATGCTTTTTTTATTCACCACTGTCATTTTTTAGTACTTTTCTCCACCATCTTCTCCCAAAGACCCCTCTCTTTTTAACAAGGAACTACCACTAAAACAAAGTAAACTGACACATTGGCCATATCTGAAAGCATACGCTTCATTCTGTGCTTGTAGTCTATGAACACTCTACCAAAAGGAAAGTGTCATGCTCATCATCAATCTACTAGAGTCAAATTCTGACAATTTGCAATGCTTTTACCTGTTGTCTTTTAGTGTTGTTTTCCTGTACATAATTATGGACATTGTGCACATTATTCTGGCTCTGCTTACTTCACTCTGCATCAGTTCATATAAGTCTTCCCAAGTTTATCTGAAGTCCTCCTGTTTACCATTTCTTCTTGTGCAGTGATATTTCTTGACATTCATATACCATAGTTTCTTCAGCTGTTCTTCCATCAATGAGCACCCTTTTTGTCCCCAAGTGTCTTAGCACCTTAAAAAGACTAGCTACAAATCTTTTTAACAATGTTTTTTTTACCAACCCTCTTAAAAAAAGAAGGTATTTAAAAGGAAAAATATCTTCCAAATATGTTGAGAATTTCAGCATGTATATTCTATAAAATCTTTGAAAACTTTTCTTGGAGAATCATATTAAAAGAATCCATATGATATATATCTCTTATTTTGATTGGCCTTTATCAAAGCTGTACTATCTTTGCTACTATGCCTTTAGACTTTTCAGATGAAAAGTTTTCACTTATTCATTATTTCATTCTAGTTGTCTTTTGATGAAAGAATCATCAGCATTCTTATTATGTTACCATACATGTTCTTAAGGGAAAGTTGAGCCACCTCCGATCTACTGCACCAGAGAGGGTTAGCACCCAACGGTGTACAGACTAAACTATAGGTTTCGTCCAAGAATATGGAAACTGACAATAAATTATTACACATGGTCTTCTTTCAGTTTTCAAGTGCAAACATACCAAGGTTTATTTTAAATATGAGCCAGTCAGACATTTAGTAAAATAGATCAAAGAAGAAGTGAAGGCCTCCCATGCTTATTATTTCAATATGATGTCTATTCTAATAAAGTGTAAGAATGCATATGATAGACTAAGTTGTAAGAATTTTCTGGTTCCATAGTTTAGCCTTAAATATATACACATATTTGTAAATTAATCCAAAACACATTGCTGTGGTTTCAGTTCCTATGAATGGTGATTGTTTTCCATCCCTTTTTTAATTTTAGAAATATGGTGGCGGTTTGCCAGAACACTTTCAGATAAACAGTCCACTCCATATATAAAAGGCCACAGAATCACTGATGTTCAAAAACCACAGAATGTTATTTCAATAAGTTAAGGTTGTTCTTATCTTTACCATGGGTTTTTTAAAGCCATCTGTGCAAGGTAAATTTTGGTAATACCTCATCTTTTCTAAGGATGCAGGGACGGAGTTCATAACTTTCTTCACATTGATGTTCAGGGATTCCCAGGATAGATTATGTTGTTGTAATTCTGTGACCATTTGGTTAAATTCAGAGTAAAATATTCCTGCTTAGTGTAATTAGAATTTACAGTCAGACTGAAAGGAACAGGTTGGTGTTCCCCTCCTTTCTTCAACATCCCTTACCTCTATCAGCTCCTCACATTCTCAAGTACAAACACACACATGCACACACATATGCACATGCCCATACACGCATACAACTTTTATTTACAAGGCTGTATCAGACAAGTACTTCACCCTGATTTGTGAAACTGAATACCAAAAAGATCGAGGATTATTACTGACAAAATTGCACATGGTTTGATTGTGCCAGCATGCTACACTCTAGCAATGTAGTCTTATTCTAACAACTCCATTTTCCTAGAATGGACAGATGATCGATCTAGCTAGCCCCTCAAAAGCACAGGGGGAAAATGGGCCAAGTTATTCACTTGAGCATGAAGATATGAAAAAGAAAAGGATTTTTTCCTTCACTTTTTGTCCCTAACCAGTATTTTCAGTCAATTAAAATTTGTACTAGAGCCTTTTCCCCCTTTGGTCTGAAGCCACCCCAGTATCTGATGAGCAATACTTCTTGTTTGTGCAGTCATTCATTATCTCCATTACCAAGAGGAGAATAGAGGACAATTACATTGTTTGGACGAATCAGAGTGTTAGGAGGAGTATTTGTCATGGTGGCAGAGTGCAGCACCTGACAGTCAGCGATTGATGGCCAGGGATGAGCGTGAGTGGCCGAAGCAGCCTCATATGATGCAAATTACTGACTGTGGATTCCAATTTATCCTGTTCATTTTTCTTGCCTGTGCTGAAGACTATTAGTGGTTTTTGAAGCAGTGAAGGGGTCATTACTAATGTGGGCAGGCTAGAAGCAGGAGGGGGAAGGAGGGGAAAAGCCTTCTGTAATTACACAGCTTTCAAGAACAGGCTAGAGGCCCTAGCCAAAAAAGTGTCAACACCTCGCAATCAGAAAAATTTATTTTCATTTTATGCTTAACCCATATTAACTCAACATTATCATCTTTCTTTGTTAACATTTGCAGAATATTAAAAGCCTGGCTTCTATATTAATACAAATCTAGTTAACCCCTTTTGCTGCACAGGGGATATTGTTTAACCTAATGGCATTTGGTTTTGCTAGTAAGTCACTGGACATCTTATAGATAACATACATTATCATGAGAGATGAAATACCTGAAGAACAGAATATGAGATGACTGAACTATCTCACTGCCAAGCCTCAGAATGATTAGAGTAGTTTAAGTGGAATGTTTCTGTTGTTCATGATTGGTATCACTCTTTATCATCATTGGAGAAAATGTTTATTACTTGAGAACTTCTTCATTGTAAAAGACTTTGAGATGACTAATAAAAATTCACTTTTTCTCCATGAGAAAACTAGTGAATATAAAGGAGGACCCTATTTAACTCCTATGTGTACAATAGTGTGGTAACTCTTAAGGACCTCTGTAATGCAGAAACAATAATCCTTGACTTGCAAGAATGAAAAACAAATTGATGATGTCGTAGATGCTCCCCCAAGGAAGCTTTTTGTGGATGGTCACGGGGAGGGAAGCGTGGGATCAGTGAAGTTTGTAGCTTAATTCTGCTCATTGTCATCATGTAAATTTAAATTTGAAATTTTGTATGAAGCCTTGCACATAGTGGATTCATTTGAATATGTGCTTCTTGCTTGCCCATTTACTCCAGTAGAATAATGATCAGGCATGGGAGAATCTTTCCATTCCCCCATAAAGGAGACTGCATAAATATCTCATCAATATACCATATAAGTAATTGAATTGGTTGTCATGACTCCTGAGAATGATCTTGATTACCTCATAGCACTCTCCAAACATATGCTGTCAATAAGCTTACTTCAACTGGAAGAAAATGGTTTAGTTGAGCCCTCTTAGGTGAATAACCTTGTAATAGCTATTGTATACATGTGTTTTAGTTAGCAAGCAAAATGCTAATGTAACAAGTTGCCTTTTGTGCAACTAGAATATTTTGTGTAGGATTTAATGTAGCCTAAAGTTGAAATAATTGGAAAATACATGACCAACATTTAAAAAATCTAATAACCAATATTTACATAATTTTCTTGTTGCATGAACTGAAATGTGTTGCAAGAACAGGGGGTATCAAGCACTAGCCATCTTTGGAATTGATCTGTATCCTATCACTTCCATCATTTATCTTCACATATTTAAAAAAAAAAGGCTGTTCCTTGAAAAAAGTCAAACCATAGAAACCTAGAAATCACAAGTAGTGTTTTCTTTCTTAGACGCAAGTGCATCTTTCCTAACTGCTTATTTATCTTTTAATTTTTTTTTTTTAG